GCAAGCTAGCCCTCCCCTCCTGCTCTTTCCCCAGATTGATAGGAGGAGCTTGCGTCTCTCCTGCCACCCAAGATTTCCCTAATTTGTTTCTTCCAACTCCTCCCTACCGAGTCTTTCTCCTGCCCTTTCTGCTTCCTTACTGTTCAGTGACTTTCATAATATCAAATTGATTTAAAAACCCTTGTCCCCTTCTACTATTATTTGGTCCAAACTCATTGTAGCATCTAGGATTAAATCTTGTCTGTATGAAGCTTCATAATCCCATAAACAGGGTTGAGGGAGGGCTCAGGCAAACCCTACCTTGATGCCACCCCTTTGCCTGCAACAGCCTCTCAGCTGTTGTACTCCAAGCCCCCCTCTCTGTCTCCAAAGGTCTGCTGCAAACCCACCTCCTCCACTAGTCCTACCAACCATGTCTGTGTATAGAAGAGTAAGAAAGTGTGTGTGTCAGCTTTGCAAAACTCTTCTGAGCATTTATGAGCCCATGCTGAAAATTTGCTTCTGTAATTATCATCTTGACATGGGGCCAAAATATTGCACAGCATGAGCAAATGGGAAGGTAGGATTTTGCAAAGGTGTGTGTGTGAAATACATAATACACGTGATAATATAAAAAACCTGTGTGTATATATAGATAGTGTATATATATAAAATTCAGCTACTACAGTGACAAAAGGGTGTGTGTGTGTGTGTGTGTGTGTGTGTGTAAAAAAAAAAAACAGAACTTGATGGTTTGGCTTAAAGGTTTAATTGGCATGAGTTTGGGATAACTGCATTATTCACAAGTAATGAAACCATGTGCAAATTATGCAGGTTACAGTAAATGAGTGCTAATAAAATCATTGTACCACCCATCCACACCATCATTCTGAAGGTGGGACACGTATGATGCAGAAAACCTTGTCCCTAAATTAGTGAATTTGGGAATAAAGAAGCCAGCTGTGTTTACTCCTAACTACACACAATGTATTAGAATCTCTGTATACTTGTATACTTGCATGTATAGCTGTGTTACAGTATATGAAAGGATATTCCCAAATTCTGTATCATTAATTTACAATGGGTGCCTTTTTCCCTTGTGTGTTTGAACTCTTTATTCTTTGTTCATTGCTTAACAGTTCCTTGATTCTTTCATTGGAGAAGCCTTTTGGAAAAGAGGCTAGAGTCCCTCTGTAACCTGCCCTGGGTGGCCCTAGCTGTAGGCCTTGCAAAGACATTACTTCTTTGGCCTGAACACAAGCCTCTCAAACCTTTAGCCTGGCTAAATGCTTTGTACAAACAGCCGCATACAGATCTGCTCTATTCTCTTGTGATTTTCTGCTCAAGGGGCCGTATGGTAGGTGGCTTGCTCTATCTTGCCGCTCGCCTTGGTAGTGGAGAAAGTACAATAAACGAATCTGACAGTGCCGAGGCCACCACTGTGCTGGGTCGTTCTGAGAAAACTGTACTGAAACCTGATTGAGGAGATTAAAACCAAGAACTGGCTGTGTCTTTCCTTTAAAGCTCTGTTCCTTTTTAAAAGGACTTTGTACATTTCCTTTCCCCAGATAAGTTTGTGGCATTGGTATGTAAAATGTGACCTATGAGTACAGAGGGTGCTGCAGTACTTTGTAATAATAATGTGGTGAAACACCCCATTCATTCCTGTTCCAATCCCTTGAAGTCAATGTACACATTGCATCGTATAAGCAATATCTGTGATCTCATTTGTACTGTAATATAAGTAATATAATAATGATCTCATAGGCTGTTTCACTCCTTGGATGTATTATTCATGCAATGCATGCCTCCACCAGTTTTTTGAGGAGTTACCGTTTGAGCCAGTCTGCACTACAGAATTTACTGAGTTAGTGTATGTTTAATACAGCGGTGCTGTAACATGGGTTACTCTTCCCTGTACAGGATGGACCATACTTTATTACAGTTGTTTATTAACGTGGGTTACACCCCACTACAGACAGGGTTGTAACATGGTTCCTCAACATAACGAGAGCAGAGCTAATAATTAGACACATGTAATGAATGGGATGGATTTTACCTTGAATTGTCCCTAAACAGATCACAAGATTTGGGACTGTATTGCTTATCTGGAAACATTCAAGAATATCAGCAGCAGATCTTTTGCAAACAAATTGTCATGAATAGTTGAAAGACGGTGTCTGCACAAATTGGGAATCTTACGGTTGAGTTTAGAATTCTAAATTAGTTTCTAGCAACTGTTAGACACTTGAATTTACAAACTGGCTTTTTTCAAAAAAATAATTTCTGATATTTCTCCCAGTGTTCACTCGGCTATAGATATAATAGGATTTGGCCACATGCGTAGAAGCAAGAATATACGCCTGCCCCTCTCAAAACACTCCTTTGTTACAGCACAGTGCCCCAGTGCAGTAAACCCGTAGACAGGCCCCTTAAATACGCCATCTCAGTGATAATATTTTCTGTGCATTCTTGGGAAGCCAGAAGGCTTTTTCCTGCATTTAAAATGTGTGTGGTGGTCAGATGCTTAATATGGGGGTTTTGTATTATGTGAATGTGCCCAGATGCTGTGGGGATGGGCATGTAACAGAAAATCGCCTCTTGCAGAGCACCAGCATGAGACCTCTGCATTGCTTAAGTCCCTCTTAGGGCGTGGACTGTCCCCTGAGCACAAGGGTGAAATTGAGTCTGTTAAATAAGTTTATACAAAATGCACAGTAACACGAATATCAATGGTTTAATGAAATTTAAAACTAATTCAATGAAAATAGTTTGTCACTTTAAATTTCAACTTTCCCCTGGACTGTTTGCAGCCCGGACATTGGAGCACAGTGGGCAACAGCTGGAGACTCTGAAAATGAAATTGACTAGACACTGAGCAGCCTAGTTTAACTGTACAATCTCCATGATGTGCAAATGTCAATCAAAACCAAACTTGTCAAACATACAGGCCTAAATTTAGCCCTCGGGCCCATATTTAGGGACCATCAGAGGTGGACCTTTCTTTGCCAAACATCTTGAATGGTGAAATTTAAATTAGATTTTTTGTTTAATTCTTTGTTAAATTAAGTTTCTGTTAGTAGCACAGGTATGGGATTTTGGTTTTGAAAACCTGTTTATTAATCTGACTGCCTCTCTGAGTTCTGTAACAAAAAACAACTTGCTGCAATTTTCCAAATATTGTACTACAGTGAGAGTCACTTTAGAAATGCTTGATTGAGAGGTTAGTCATAATGCCAGTTGAGACTATTTTGGTATGTTAAAATATTAAAAAGTAAAACTATTGACATTTGAAAATTGGCACTTTAAAAAGGACATGGCAGCCAATTTCCAAATTGCAGGATGTGCCTCCTCCGACATTTGAATGAAAAGGTTGCGGTGGAGGGGGGGACAAATGATCTTAATTGCATGAGAATTTGGAAATGGGGCAAATTCCGTGTGTCTCATTAAAGCCAGTGGGACTGCTCAAGTGACTGGGCTGCAGGATCAGGGCCTTAAAAATGTGGTTCTTAAATGTATTTTTCCTTCTTGGTATTACTTCAAAGTGAGAGAAATAATGGAAGCAGGCTTCCAGTGAAGGGAATATATGGAGTGAGGTGGCACCATTTAGGACTTTGTGGGTAACCATATATTATCCCTCAGTACCTTAGTCTGGGCATGAAGATGTGAAGTAAAACCTTGCTTTTATCTTCCTTTGCTCTCAGCAGGGGCACAGGGGCTGTGGAGGCTTCATGCTAGGCTGAGGACTTGCTCCCCTACCTTACAAAGTCCTGACATGATGAATAACTGTGCTGAAGTAGCTGCTAAATCATGGGTGTTGGGATCATTTTATTTAAAAGCTATAGCTTGGAGCACTTTTTCTTCTTCTGTACAGCCATGGTAAACGGTGTCTCCTGCAAACTGTCCCAGTTTGACATACTGTAATTCCACAAAAGCAACAAAATTCAGCCAGGCAAAAGCATAGGACATACAGTTGGCGTATGGTATTCCTAGGTGACTTCACAAACCACGTACACTTAGACATGAGGGAGTAAAGTGAGGTTGGAGATTCAGCCATGATCCTTGTATCTAAGTGAGGTCCTGGTTTTGTATGAAGAGTCGTTCTAATGGTTGGTTTAGTAAACTTGGGCAAGATCAGATGGCCTGAATCAGGCCTTCAACACAAGTGCTCAGCAAGGAGAAATACGGTTATCAGCCTCTTTGTGACAGTTATCAACCAAGAGCTGTGAAATGATCCTCTAACCTGAAATCATAATGTATGGTCCCCCGTATTAGTTTTGGACTAAGTTTAACCAATACATTAGAAGAAAAATAAACCACCTAAGTGTAGAATTGGGGCCGGATTACACCAGAAAGGGGCAAACATGGCTTTGGAAGTGTTCTTTGCTTTATAAACCAACGTTATTCAGATGTCAAAAGTCCACTTCCAAAATAAATAAATAGGCCACACAGTGGGGGCAATTCTTCCCGCTTTGGGTGCTTGTATACGAGCAAAAATGTTTCATACCAGAAAATGCAGATAATCTGCTGCAGAATAATTAATGGTGCTGCTGGGCATATTTTTTTGATGAATGCTTATGGAACCCGGTGACAGGCGTGAAATTAGAAAATACCTTCAGTGCCCTAAAATATAAATAGCTTTCGGAACTGAAAAGAGTTTCACAGCTGAAGATTTTATTGTGTTGAGAGGAAAAACTTTTCCACCCCCACCTCCCCTTTCTTCTTTGCAAGTTGTTTGTCCATTCACAAAACAAATACTCTGAAGCCCAGTGCGGCTCATGGGAATAAATTTCAGGTCGAATTAGTACAGTTTCCTTGCTGTCAGGACGGTGGAATTAATGGTGTTTTGATGACACAAATTTTGAAGGGCAAACAAAGAAGCTGAAGGGAGGGAGACATGACTCCTTAGAAGTGCAGTCCTCCTCTCCCCCAGTCTCTCTTGTCTTCCCTGTCATCCGTCTGCCAATCTCCCTGTCCATGGTTAGTTAAAGGCGCTTTTTATCCTCTTTTCTTTCCCACAGAGTTTGCCAGATCCGGGCCAGTGCCTGGGTTCCAAGGGGACACACTGCAGTTGGCCTTCATCGACTTGAGACAAGTAAGTCTTTGTGTTTTTGTTTTTTGTTTTTCTTTTAAGATGTGTGACTGAAGACCATCAGGTCTTAAGGAAAAGGGAGGGGAGGGGAAGCGGCATTGGTGATTCAGGCCAGAGACCTATATTCTCCCCCTTTCTCCCCAGTACTCAAGACCGCCAACTTATTTAGCTATCCAGGGTCCTAGGAGTGGCCGAGGTGAACAAGTTGGTGGTGTAGGGAAAGGGAGAAAGACATAAGTGACCCCAAGCAATGGGCCCATTGTGCTCTGGTTGGCTTCTGCAGACATGGCAAAAAGATAACTCTGAAACTCTCTGTGCTGACACTAAGCAGGTGTTGCTAACAGAGAGAGCAGTGATGCAGAGACCGCCTGCATGGAGCACTTTTGTTCGCAGATAATGCCCGGAGAAGCGTTTCAGGAGGGCGAAGGAATTTGCATTCTGGGTTGTGTAGGGTGTGTGTGTGTGTTTTTTTTTTTTTTTCCCCCCAGCTCCTTCTTTTGCAGACATTCCCCAGCCATGAATGACAAAGTGGCTGTTCATGAAGATGGGTACAAAAGGCTCCGCCCATTGATGCCTACCTCACAAGAGATCCCATTATAGCCATGTTGACCGTAGCAGGTACTAAGGCATCCCTAGAGCTTGGCAAGCCACTTTAGGGAAAAGGGCCATTCTAGCGAGTCATTTGTTATGGTAGAAATGGACATTATTGATATACCAGGCGGGGGGAAAAAGGGAGCAGGGCCCTGTCATCTCTTGGCACTGAAGATGGATGGGGTTGGATAGAAAGTCTGAATGAAGTAGGACTCGATGACTGATGTTTCTCTCCTATTAAAACAATCTTTTTTTGTCTGTTAAACCCCCTCTGCTTTGTCTCTCCTGCCATAATGATGCAGTGCCTCTTGTTTGCAGGGTTGACATAGTTTGCATTCTGAAAACTTTCAGATGCACAGGGTATTTCTTTAATCTGCATAATCCCTTGTATCGATGATCTCCTCACCACTGTGACTCTGATTCATGCCGGAACAGCTTTTAACCCATAATGGATTGCGAACCCTCTCCGAATCCAATTGATGTGCATTGTAATCTGTCATCCAATGACACTTGTGCAAAGCTACGTTAAAGTTTGATGATGATAATGAGTCTCCACATACCCACTTACGTTTGGGAATTCAATTCTGCATGGTTTGTTTCCATATCAAACTTGTCCATTCGCTTACATGTAAGGTCCATTTGCAATATTGTCTTAAATGCCTCGCAGGAAAGAAATGAGTTGTCATTCCCGAATCTCATGCTTTTGCATACAGAAGTGTTTCAACATCACATACAGAGTTGTCAGTAAAGCACACATGACCTTGTGTTTTAGGTAATATAGGGGTGTTGGTTCTTCTCCAAAGATACAGAGATGAATGCAGAGATTTTGAAGAGGAAAGCTGTGGGGTTTTTCTAAAGAATTAAATGCCCTATAAATACTTCTCAGATGTTTAACTTCTATGAAGCAGTGTATTAACTGGTAGGCCGGTGTATGTGTAATGTTAATATGGTTTATAAGGGCAATATGCACCCAAGTGAATTCAACATGAGCCAGGATACAGCTAGACGATGGTCCATTTGTTGCTTCCTCTCTAATATTTCTGCTCCTTGGTCAAATACTCTCCTCTACACAAGTTTTCTCTAATTGTATTTGTTTGTAAGTTTCCTGCTACTAAGTGTATTCTGTTCTTTCTCTTCCACTAACTGGTCTTCAGCATTTTTGATAACTTGCCGAAGATGTAATCTGTGCTGGGGTAAAGTAAAGACTTGACTCACCTAGCCTGCCTAGTGGAATCTGCAGTTCAGGACAGGCAACGCCATATCTGTGAGTGTCGGAGTGATGCTGTCTTGATACAAGTAGGGTATTGCTTGGGTAGCACATGGTAATTCTGTGTCATTCTAAAACCTCTGGGAAGTACAGATATCATTTGTTCATACAGGGCAGTGCATGACATTTTACATAAATATAAGTTCCCTGTCTGCACAGATTTTCACTGCATCCTGCAAGGAATTTTGTGCACCCCCTGCACATACATGGAGCCGTGCTGACTTTCTCACCACAGGCAATTGTAAAAAACCTGAACCCTTGTCTTTCTATAAATGTGTGTTTGGGGTGTTCCACGGACACTTTTGCTCTGTCACTGTTATATCATGTGAAACCGTAGGAACTTGACAGAGCTAAATTTGAAAGTCATCTCTTCAAACCACTTCAGTGGGGTAAGACTTAGACAACCGCTGGCTTTGAGTTTATAGCAGCTGTTTTGCTTACCACTTGTCAAACAGCAAACATTTTAGATGCGTCTTTTACTGTGTCCCAAAGCCAGTTGTGGTTGTGGGTTTACGTTGAATGACAATCAAAGGATGTTTCCCTCAAATATACACTTTCCTCCCCCTCTCCCGCCATATTCCCTAACTTCCCACATTACCTGTATAATCATAGGTAGCCTTCCTTGTTTTATGAGTAGCATGAAATAAAAAGTGAAAAGCCGGATTTTTTTTTAAATAATTCATTGGTCCTTCATAGACATGACAAAGTTAATTGGAAGGTTATTTGGTGAGATACCTGTATTTCTTTAATGTGGATTTCCAGTTCATGTTTTAATCAGAAACTTGGTGGTAAAAATTGGATGAAATGAAAGATTTGTGTTTAGCCTCCTGCCAACGGACACCTTTTGTACTGCAATGCTGTCTGCACCGTCCTTGCTGTCTGCTTTGTGTCGCTCTTGTCAGTTTCATGCTAGGAAGTGATTGCATTCAAGGCTACCCTCGCCAGCCAGCAGCATGAAAGCATGGCCCCAGAACAGGCCATGACAGCTTGACAGTAAGCACAGATTCTCCCATTTTTTCCAAGAAAATTTATTTCTATTCTCTGCGTAGGGCTAGTTTCATAAACTGGAGGCAGGTTGAAAACAGGCAATTGCATGAGCCTGACACCAAGTGCTTAGATTTAGTCCTTGGCCACACCTGGACGGGGACTGCCCGTCCCACTGAGTGTGCAGCAGTGTGTAGAAATACTTGTTAAAAGATGTCAAAAACGCCTTGTTTCATGCTTTGATGAAATACACATTGCAATGTTCAAACCATGAGAGAGAGATTGTCAGTTAAACTGAATAATTCCCCGAAGGGGAAGTTAAGATAGTAGTTTTGCTTTTGGCAAACCCTCTGACATGTCTTTGGTCCACACGCGCACTTGCATATTTGAAGCACATTTTTCAGTTGAAAGAGAAGACCTTGCAAAACGTGGCTAACTAAATCCTTCTGTAGACCGCTTTGTCAGGGAGAGACCAGCTCCTCATGCAATATCCCCCGTCTCTCTCAGCCTGGCACTCTAGGTAGGTCTGGAGCAGCTGGGAGCGTGCTTCCCAGTAAGGGTAGACAGTGCTAGATCTGATCAAGCTAGTGCGAGCAATGGGGCTGCAGTGGCACAGGCCCCGGGTCAGCCGACCCTCCCAACTACAAGTCCACCCGACCTCCCCGGTATTCACGCAGGTGGCTAGCCTAATCACCTCCCAAGCTACTTGCTAATTTTAGTGTGTTAGCTGGAGCAGAGCTGGCGCCTGTCTGTCTACCCACTCTGGGAAATGCACTCTCAGGCGCAGGGTAGAAGTAGCTTAAAAGTTCCAGTCTGCTGATGCTGCAGGAGATGGCTTCCTGGATTGTTGATGTCAATGAGCTACAGCTTGTGAAGCATTGCCTTACTGCCATATGCCTCGATGTGTTTTCTTTCCTATTTAGTGTGTAATGCCCCCAAGCAATGGGGCTTCCACCTCTCCCCTGGGAGGCGAATGTGCTACAGCTTTATACCGTCCGGATGTCTTTCCTGATATTCGGTGTAAATTTTCCTTTCCTTCATTTCATTCCATTACAGTACTCCTAATTCTCCCTCTGAGTTGTATCCCCACTCAGTCCCCTCATTTCACAGGGTTTGGTTGCTACTTGTGCAACCCACGCTAATACAGTGTGACTCGCTGGACCACTCTTTGAGCTAACAGAGCTGCGTCTTTTAGCTCAGCCTAGAGAGGCACAAAATTAACGTTTATAGGTCAATATGTTCAAAAACTGGTGCCTAAAGTTAGCCTCCGAGTGCTTTAGGAACATTAGGGTAAGCCTCTCAACACCCCTCTGAGACAGGCAAGTAAGGATAACACTCATTTCATCTGTGAGCAAACTGAATTACCAAGAGCTTAATGTCAGAGAAGATGCAACAGGTCTGTGGGAGGGCCAGGAGTGGAACCCGGAGTGTTCTAATGGCGACTTCCTGAGCTCTAACCATGAGGCTGCTCTGTCTGACACAGTCACATGGGGGGCGGGGGGGCTAGACCTAAGTTCCATGCCTTTCCTTGCGCTTCAGATCTGTTGGCTATGACACTGAAGTGTCCCTATAAACTCATCTCCACCGATAACCTGGGAGAAGTGAAGGAGCAGAAAGGTGACGACAAATAATGGAAAAAAACAAAAACAAATCCTCAAGATGGCCACGTCATCCTGTCATCAAAATCTTTTTATTGGCACCTCGTCCTCTTGCCCCCGTCCCCTTCTTATCTTTCCGACTCCTTATGGTAGTGTCATGTCAAATCAAGACAGTACACCCTTCTTGGAAGGAACTATGACCCTGAATCTGAACTGCACTTCTCAAGAAAGATCGTTTTGATGGGTATAGGAAGAGGCAAGGTGGCTTTAAGTCACCTTTTTCCTCCTGGATTGTGGGTTTGGACTGCCAAGGGCTGTCCAAATTCCTGGTGGCTTTGAATGGCCCCCTAATGGGTTACTCCATTTGTCCAGAGCAGAGCACTCCAGCCACATACACTCCTTCTGATTCTGAATATGCCCCTTCCCTCTCTTGGACCTAGCCATAGGCCGTATGGGTGTTGCATAGGATGATTCTCTCAATCCTGCAGCTCCTGAAAACATGATGGAGGAATTCTCTGTGGAGCAACTAAACCATCCTAAAAGAGCTAGCAACAGATTCCAGAATCCAGGCTAAAGTTTTGCTTGCTTGTTAGGCTCAGAATGTGTTTTTGGGG